ATAGGTTTTGTGATAGCAGTGCAGGAAAGGGGGTTGATTCAGGCAGATGATTCTTATTGGATCATTACTAAGGGTGGTGCTAAGAAATAAGACCCACTTGTTTACCATTTGAATCTCGGCACCAAAGCTCCCTATCACTGAGAGTGGATACTCTGTTTAAATACCAAACTGAATCCATGTAGAGACACATACCAAGGCTTTGAAACTAATCTGTGCAGAAGTTGTCCCAAATTTAACAACTCCTCCTCATATGCTCTTGGAACTCCTGCATTCTGCAGCCCTGGGCATGTGAGAGAAAAGAGGAAGCTAGAGCAAACACTGAGATTGTGGAGATTTGTAAGGATGGTAGCTATTACTTGTACTATATCCTCATATTTTGTGGAAGTTACTGACCCATCATCCAGCAGATGGCACACTGGCAAGGGACTGTTTCTGGTATGCGTGGAAAATTCCAGCAAGTTCGACTCTGCAGGCTGCATTCCTGGCTCCTCTCAGCTGGCCTTGAGAAAGTCCTAAATCTACATGCTTTGATTTGATTAAATTGGAATTCTAGCCCACTAACACGCCTCTGCTCTGACTATAACCTTAGCATGTAGCTTGCACAGGCAAGCTGGTGAACTCAAGGTTATCCACACAGGCACACCGCAGAAACTTACTCCAAAGTTGTTTTTTTGGTATTCGTGTGTGTATTTTTCTTTTGAAAAACCTGATAAAGCAGAATAAAGTAACTTTAACAAAGCTTTTACATGGCCAGGGAGTCTCATTATTGACCACTAGAGCTGAAACACTTTTTGTTGTTGCTGCTTTACAATACATGCATAACTTCTGAGTACACTATGAAAGTACTGAGGATGAGAAAGACTTTAAAACAATCTAAATAAAGTGCACTGCCAAAATACACATAATCAAGGGACTCCTTTTAGATAACTGTGATCCTCTGTAAACTCTTTATCTCTATTATTCTGTACTGCTGGTAATCTTCCTGTGTGTTTAACCTTGTCAAGTGGAATGAAACCCAACTTTAAACATGGAGTGTGTGAATGCAAAGACCGGCAGCCGCACTGCTGCAAACAGACATGATTTTGTGTCAGAAGATGACTTCCCTGTTTGTCTGTTAATTAAAAAAGCAAGAAGCGAGCTTCCAAGTAAAGAGTGCTCATCATTACCTGCACAGAAAATCTTTTGAAGTGCTATCAGTGAATATTTCACTGCGTCTATTCATTACACGCCGTGCTCTTTAACTGATGTGATAAATTATGCATGTCATGTGTTTTCAATGATCTGCTCAAATAGACGATCAAGGAAAACGTATAAATACATACAATAAGACTAGAAGAACAAATCTTTTTATAGACGCACTGCAGCCGTGCCACAATTCAGACCTGCAGTCGGATTTGGTGTTTGACAAAGGGCAACTTTGTTGTGGACAAAAGAAGGAGAAATGCTTCTGGGATGCATGGAGTTAAAAAAGTGAAACTTAACAATATAAAAAGAAATTCTTTTAAAGAAAGGAACTAAAAAGACCTCTGTAGCTAACAGCATTATCTGTTTGGTGTTACAGCTTGGTTGCATCATGCCTCTCAGAACAAAACTCCACACTCACATCTTTGCTGACAATGAACACTGAAGTTGGCAGAAATTTGCTGTGAAACGAGACAAAAGTGTGCAGTTTATGAAAAAAAAAAGTGAGGCAACCTCCGGGCCTCAGGCTTTTGTCAGTGGGCATTTCTATTCAATGACCTATCATGCACCAAGTGTAGGCAATGATACGGCTTTGAGATGTTTCACACTGTGTCAGAAGTGTACAAGATTTTTATTTATTTTTTTTTTAAATGTGCAGCTGTTACTTGCCGGGCAGACTTGAATCACTGTCACAACCTGCCTTGGCTCTTGATTGTTTCTGAGCAGCGTGCCGCCTAGACAAAGAGACCAAGACCCTAACGCCACGACCCGTTGTTTAATTATACACCCTGAATGGAGATCAAGGATTAACCGATAAACTGTTCATACTGTGACAACGTGCCCTGTGTGTCATTCCTATCAGTTCAGACGGGGGGGATATTGATCAGCTACCCTGCACTCTCTCTGTCCTGTGTAAGTGGGTCATTTATTTTTGCTAGGAATTGGTTGAGTAAAAGTTTGCCAAGGATTTGCAGTAATTATCTCATCCTTCTATAGCTGGGCACAGCATGGGGCCTTGGTAAATTACACATCTCCCTCCTAACTCCTGGATGGTTTATGGCCGTGCATTATGCATAACTGTGCTGGAGCGCCTTAAACATCCCCCAAGTGGATTGAAATAAAGTTGACGCTGCTCTTTGTTTGGAGCTCAAGATAGTCTTTATTTGGCAGTGCTGAATCGGAGATTGCTGTAAAAGCGTGCGTCTTAATTATTTTGGAGACTTTTTTCCCCAATGGTTTGTGAACACCTGGAGTGTTTTTAGTGGGATGCCGAATCCAGATGGGCGGATGCACGGGCAATCCACAGGGAAATGTCGGTTACATTACAGTGGAGTGTGTCGTCACATGAAGGGTTAAACAAAAAAGAAAAGAAAGGCGCTGCATCTGATTCATATGGATGTGTGTAACACAGTCTGTTGTACACTGAATGACAAAGATAACTGATGTCAGTTTAACCTCATGTAAGCATGAACGTGTCTCGTGGAAAATTAGAAAAACATCTTAATGTTTGTCAAGAGGAAAATAAATTCACATGAAAATCAAGATAATCTTAAAAAGAAGTCTCACTCCTCCGTTCGTCTTCATCAAAAGAAAAGTACTATGAGAAATGTAAAAGATATTCCTCAAAGACTATAAAATATATAATGATCAGTAGGTGTAAGGACACGGTGGATAGCTTAACAAAATAAAACACAAATATAATACAATAATGACAAGCCTGTATAACAGAACATGGGATGTGCTGTGTTTATTAACATTAATAACAATAAATGGAGCTCATAATTCAGTCTTTGTCTGCCCACCGACGTTCTTTTAACTTTATCATTCAAATATTGAATCAATATAGAGCATTTAAATCTAAGGATTCTGTGTGTTATTAGCTAATATTAAAACTACTGGAGATAAATTATATATTTTGAAAGGACTGCTGTCATGTGAACTAATATATCTTCTAATTATTGCTATACACTTGTCTCTGTCATGTATTATCAGCTCAGCAAATGCTCCTTCTGTGCCAAGGAGTGAATGGGATGAGAAAGGACGGGGAATCTGTGGTTTGGAATCACCACAAACAAAGTTTCCAAGGTGAGTCACTGCTTGCCCACCACTCATGGAATTAATACAACTTTTCAGATGCTGTCACACACATCCCCTAACCAAGCACCATAACCGTCTATTAACTGGTAAAAGGTATGTAAATTCACACCAGTTCTCACGCAGGGACAACACGGTTTCACACAACTTCTCTTTGATGCCATCGATTGAAACAAAAGTCTTCAAACTAAAAGAGCATGAAGTAAAACACAACACGAGTAAGCTGAAAAGTAAAAAAATCTCTGTTTATTCTTGCCCAACTCTGAGAAATGATGCAACAAGGAGTACACATGCCTTAAATTAAATGGTAGGGAGAAAAAAAACACACAGCAATGCATTCAATTAATTTTCCAGGAATCTTTCACTTTGCATTTCAATGAGCAATGTTTTTGTTGTAAGTCTTCACATCACCTGACATGGACAATTTCACAGGCACCCTCTGCTTCCAATTATTTCCCAATCAAACCCATAATTCTCAGGAAGGACTAAACACTTTCAAAGAAAAGACAGCCACCACGTAACAAGAGGCTGGAGTCTAAATGTTGTTACAATACAGGCATACAATACCATAACAGCACAACCACAGAGACCTGACCTTGACATTCAATTCCACAACGTGTGCAATAGGTCACATAGCGTTTTTAACTTTTATACTCTACACATAAACCCCAAATGCCTGATTTTAAATTACAACCTAGGCTGACTGCATTCACAGGTTATGATTTTATAGATTGATGATCCCTCGCTTTCATGCAACAAGTTTTCTATGTAACTATATATGAGTTAATTCACAGTAGATCCCATCAGTAATTATCAGTTTGATTCACTGTCAGGCAAATCAGTCGCTTTAACACAGTAACAGTAAAGCCAATGTATTACACCGGTATAGGCGCAAATGAGTGTATAAACCGCGACCTAACAAGTGCCAAATCCACCATGCAAACCAAACCGCTTAACAGTCACATCCGCAGCATGACACACGCTCAACTGACTGCCTGTACACTTGTGAAAAATAAATCTATTAAAGCTTTCCTTTTTCAACAAACCCCCGACGGTGACTCGAAGCATTCTCCATCTATGAAGTCAGCATACCTGCAGGAAATCTGGCTAAAAAATGAGCCTGCCACACCGACCTGTCCGCATGGGCCTAATTAAGGTGTCGCTCTGTGTGCTGTACATGTTGGGTCTGTGTGTTAAATGCGACGAAAGGCAGGGAAACGATACATTGCTTAAATCATAGAATATAAATTAGTTCTGAGAATTTCGGGGGCTGGGTTTAAGGAACTGGTGACGTCGCCGACTCGACGTCCTGTGACTATGGACTCAACCAAATGCGGGGGGGGGGTTGGATCACTGTGAAACAAATTTCTGCGTTATTTTGAGAAATAATATTTATTTTTTCACTCATTCAAACGCTGGAATTGTGCCGTGCTTAATGTAAAAACCGCCATGTGCAATACGTGTTAGAAAAACCGATTTGAAAAGAAGTTGTTTTCACCACAAGGGAAAAAAACGTCTCTCCCCTGCCCCGGGAAAGTGGTACGGTCTCGGGCTCAAATTCCGAGAATTGAGCTCGTCTGATTCTTAGAACTGGGGTTCTTAGAAGTGGTGATGCAAGAAGTTTCTAGGAAAGCGCTACCAGGTGATTTTTTAAATTCCTTTTTTGCTCTAATTTGGCGCGAAGTTGTTATGTACTGTGTATTGCTGATGTTTTAGACATAGCTATTTGTCCATTTGTGCCGTTTAAGTGTTTGTGAAGCCGGGGCTGTGTGTGACTGTGTCTCCTGGCAGCTTGGACAGTGCAGAGTCGAAACTCTGAAGTGGCTCGTGTAGTGACAGGCAGTGCGCCGCTCTCTGACAGACCGTCTGCCTCGGCGCTGCGCTGTGGTCGCTGGTCGCCTTGAACCAGCGGAGGCAGACGGCAGCGTGCCTCCGCTGGTAGCCGACCATAGCGCACTGACACTGTGTCGTGTTGTAACGCTGTAATAACGCTCGAGTCAGCGGACCACACCGAGGGAAATGAGCGTGTTATTAGGGGTGTAAAAGGCTGCCCAGCCCGGGTTGTTGTATGTGTGTGTGTCGGGTGGAGGTAGTTGGCGGTGTTAGGAGAGTGAGCGGAGCTTTAAATGTGCTCTGATTTAACGACACTTTGTACGGTCAACTGTCAACAGCGCGCGGCGACTCGCTCGCTCGCTCGCGCGCGCTGTCAGAGCAACTTTGCTGGCAGCATGGCAGCTTCAGCTTCAGGATATTTTTACTCCGCGGTCGCTCCGGCGGTAATTTGCTCTAATGGAGCGCAAAAGGCTGCGCCGAACAAGCCCGTCTGTTACCGTAACATTGTGGCGGAAACATTAGTGTTGATGGGCGTGTGTGTGTGCGTGTGTGTGTGTGTGCGTGTGTGTGTGTGTGTGTGTTTTTCTTTCCACGGCAGAGGCTACAAGACACGTCGTCGCACCAAGTTGTGTCTTATGTTTCCACTGTGACACCGTGCTGTGTGTTCAACTAACCTGTCTAACTACACCGAGTTGGAAGGTTTGGCCGAGATGCGCAGAGTTGGCTTCAGTGTTGCCTCATATCTGTCACGCACTGAGAGTTTCGGTTAGACAGTGTTTATGCTCCGGAACAGTTAAAATTAATGACCACGTTTAGGCCTATTCAATAAAATGAAAATAAAATCAGAGATATATTGAGGACCTACTTTTTGGGCTGACAAAAATCTGTGCGCTGTGAATTTAATTACCACACTATAAAGTAGATTGGCGGAAGTTATATAGTTGTAGTAATTAAATGTTCTGAATTGTGTTTACATTACTGGTTGTTTGTCGGTCTTGATATCAGTCTGTTTAGGCTGCATTCTGAACTGCTTCTATTTTCGGACGGGTCCAGTTACAGACTTCAGTCTTGATATTGAGTTTAAGATTCTGTCATAAATCTGCATGCGGGTCATAAAGCCAGTCCTGCCGTCGGTTAATTAAATACTAGTGTTCATTCACGTTAAGTAACTGACCTACAAATGCACTTAAAGTAAAGAGAAAACAGAGCGCTGCTGGGTCCCACAACAACAACACGCTGTCACAGGGGTTATTATAGCAGAACAAGGCAAACTGTTACTGGTGTAACCTTCCAGCTGCACCGGTCGGGTAGGAGAGCCACTCAGGGCAAGGACTCCCTGCAGTTGAAATTAAAATTCATAGTTTGGATTTAAATTCGTTTGACAAAAAAAATAAAATAGGTGTTTATAAGTGTTTATAATAAGTGAGCTGCTTGCTCAAACCATTTCCCTTATTTGATCGGCATGTTGACAGTGAAGAGCATGAAACTCCGAGCCCGCCGGTCTGAAGGCACAGACACACACACTCAACTTTTCTCTGTTAGACTCAATGCAGAGAGTGGACGGAGCCAGCTTGGGCTCATTTTCATGATAAAACTGCCAAGCGATTTTAAAATAATGCCCAGGATATTTAATGGTGTTTATTACTTATATGTGCTATTTGTAATAAATCAGTCAGTGTTCAGCGGAGTCTCTGTTTGTATTTCTGAAAATGAAATACATAAAATGATCCCGCTATTACAGAATTCTATCATGGATACTTTGGTCTGCTCCGGTCGGTTAATATGTGCCACACATTTTCTTTCATTTCTTACATTAAGTTGTCAAGTGACAGTGAGGGGGAGAGAAATGAATCCAAAGGTTGAAATTAAAATGTCTAGACAGTGTTTATTTAATAAATGGCGCCGCCTTCTGGAGGAAAGACTGCATCTGTTTCTCAGTCTGCCACATTGATGAAGACCTTGTGAGGATCACAAATGATTTCAGCCCAATTAGTTTACTTTAAAGACCACCTGTACAACACAGCAGTGAGTTGTTGCATACCACTGAAATAAACTCACCATGGCATTATTCTTGTGAAATAATCTTGTGGGTTTTTTTTCTATTTGCAGAACTTGACAAAATGGCTTGCGCAGCAGACAGCTGCATACAATTCACACGCCATGCAAGTGATGTCCTGCTCAACCTGAACCGTCTGCGTAGCAGAGATATTCTCACAGATGTCACTATCTTGGTTAACAGACAGCAGTTTCGGGCACACAAGACCGTTCTCATGGCTTGCAGGTGTGTGTTAGTTACATTAGCCAATTTCTATGCCACGGTTTAAAGATGATGTGACTAATCTTTTTTTCTTTTTCTTTTCCCTGGTGTCAGTGGGCTGTTTTACACCATCTTTACTGACTCCCACAAGTGCAACCTTAATGCTATCAGTCTGGACCCAAAGGTGGACCCAGAGGGCTTTGCCATCCTGCTAGAGTTTATGTACACCTCTCGTCTGACACTAAAGGAGAGTCTGATTATGGCGATCATGAACACAGCCATCTACCTGCAGATGGACCATGTTGTGGACACCTGCCACAGATTCATCAAATCCAGGTTGGTAGAACAAAGTTCCATTACAAATCCATCCTGTTCATTTATATCCGCACTTGCAGTGTTCTTTACCTTCTCCATTCTTTTCACAGTGATCCGTCCGCCAAGCTGCCAAGAGACGAGTTTTTGGTCAGTCCCTTGGTTTTACCTCAGGATGTCCATGCTTACCGACCCCATGATGTTGTTGACAGTTTGCACAGCCGCGTAGCTCCGTTCAGGGATGGGAGGCCCTATGGCTCAAACATGTTCAGTGGGGTCAGCACCCCCAGCAACTACCATCTCTACGGGCAGTTTCCCATGCCAGGATTCCCTTTCCCTCTCTGCAAGCTGACTGATGCCAAAAACGCTTTTGCTGACCTCTCTAAGGGTGGCATCCACCACAAGCATTGTTCTCCGCATGACAGCGCCAACATCATCAGGGCAGAATACACCAGGGCAGTGGGTACCAGCTCCTCCAGCATTATTCACTCCACCACCTACGCTTCCAGAGAGGTAGGGAGAGACGATGAGATGAGGAAGGAAAGCCATGAGGGGGTCAGCCAGTCTATTGCTCTCGGCACAAGGAAGCGTGCATTTCCTGTGTTGACCCTCGAGCACCACAAGGACTCGGGCAAAGATCACGCTCCTCAGGCAGAGGAAGACCTGATCCATCAGCACTACCCCCTCGGAATCTCCTCCGCTGGACGCAAGAGCCTCATGAGCAGCCCGCAGAGCCCTCTCAAATCAGACTGCCAGCCCAACTCCCCAACAGAGTCCAGCAGTAGCAAGAACGCCGGCCTCTCCCAAGCCGCCGGAGTGCAAACCCCGCAAGGTACGCAGGACCCCAAAGCTCGCAACTGGAAGAAGTACAAGTTCATCGTACTGAATCAGAGCGCCAAGGAAGATGAGGTGGGGCTGCGGGATCCCGGGCTTCGTTCCCCTCAGCGCCTTGGCCTGCAACCCTACCTCCACCCCAGCGACTCTGAAAACCTCGACCCACAAACCACAATTAAGAGCAACGATCACAGTGAGGACCTGCCTGTGCCCCAGGCTAGTCGTCTCAACAACATCATTAACAGGTAAGGGTTTTTTTAAACACAAAGCTGCATACTTTTCTTATGCACGGCATAAAAATATACATCTGGCATATGAATCAAATTGACGTCCTGGGAGGATTTCGCAGCAGGAAGGTATCATGAGCAGAGGATCTTATGGTTTTTTTAAAGTGTTTTTTTTTTACATTTTTATTTAATATAATCCAGTTATAAAGTGTTCCTCTAAAAGAATACATTATTCCTTAAAACAAACCAGAGTCAAATTAAAATGCTTTGGATTTTGGACATTCACCAATATAGATATTTAAGGAAATTTATTTGGGAATTAATTTGATTTACTCATTCACGTCCGGTTTAATGTGTTTGTTTAGGTCTGACTTGAGTTTTTGTTTTTTGTCTGTAGTGCACTTGAGGGGTCACTGAGGAACGGTGACAGCCACCCTCCACACTACTTGAGCCGCCTGAACTGCTCATCCTGCGGCACCCCGTCCCCACAGCACTCAGAAGTCTGTCCCAACACCTCCAGGTCCCGTCTAGCAGAGGACATGGCAGAACTGCACTCAGAATACTCAGACTCCAGTTGTGGTGAGTTTATGACGGATATTAAACGGCAGTGACTTAAGCAAATCAAAAATGATAATGCATTATTCAGGACTAGGGGTTAACTCTCACTGTCATTTCTTCCTAACAGAAAATGGTACATTCTTATGTAATGAATGTGACTCCAAGTTTGCTGAAGACGAAGCGCTGAAGCAGCACATGCTTCAAGTACACAGCGACAAGCCATACAAGTGTGACCGCTGCCAGGCTGCTTTCCGCTACAAGGGCAACCTTGCAAGCCACAAGACTGTCCACACAGGTACGTCTCACAGATTCTGATATTGTCCGTCCAGTCTACGCTCCTCTGCTGCTCAATGCTAACAGGTTTTTTTTCTCTGATTCCCTGTTTTCAGGAGAGAAGCCGTATCGCTGTAATATCTGTGGTGCTCAGTTTAACAGACCAGCTAACCTCAAGACTCACACTCGCATCCACTCAGGAGAGAAGCCATACAAATGTGAGACGTGTGGAGCTCGTTTTGTACAGGTAATAACACCCTTCCATAAAAATCCGAACCTGCCCTTATAATAAACATTTTCCCTCTCTATTGTGTATGAGCTAATAACACTAATACTCAGCTCTAACTATGGGTGGGTATAGTTATTTTTTGTGCCCATAATTACAGGGAAGAACATCCCTAGGGTTGTTTTGGCTTTAACACAATGGAAGCTAATACACATGCTGTCAGTTTGATTCAAGCTGATTGTATTTCTGTTTTTTGTCCACGTTTCAGGTTGCTCATCTCCGTGCCCATGTGTTGATCCACACGGGTGAGAAGCCATATCCATGTGAGATCTGTGGAACACGCTTCCGTCACCTGCAGACGTTGAAGAGCCACCTGCGTATACACACAGGAGAAAAGCCCTACCATGTAGGTTGACATACTGTATAACAACATACAATAACATAACCTCTTTCGGAAACACATTTAAGATATCACAAGACTGTAAAAATGCCTTCAACTAATGTTTTGCTGCTTTCCTTTTCAGTGTGAGAAATGCAACTTGCACTTCCGCCACAAGAGTCAGCTACGGTTGCATCTTCGACAGAAGCACGGAGCCATCACTAACACAAAGATCCAATACCGTATGTCAACAGCAGACATGCCTACTGACTTGACAAAGGCATGTTGAGCTGGAAGGAGGGAACAGTTTTAAAGGAGGCAATCTTGACCTTGGCATTTAAAGACCCCAACTTGTACAATCATCCAAAATTGTAGTGCCACACTGTGTTTATTAGACAAATAAATTGGCTGTGTACGCCATTCTAAACGGGTTTCCACTACATGTGAACGTAGAGCCACTTATGGCATCTTAGTCACTTTATTGTTTCTATATAGATATAAATATATATATGTATGTTGGAAGTGTTTCTAAGCTTTGAAGGTACGAATATAAAGCTTTATTTTGTTGAGAAGGATGGAATGTAAACAATCTGTTTTTTGAAAATACAGTATTTTATATCAGAGAACTTACTTTTCTGAAAGTATTGAAAATTTTGATTGACGGGTGGTACATATATTTTAAGATAATGAGATTTGCGGCTGTATAGAGTTGTCTATACATTTTTATGTAGATGTACGTACATGTTGCACCATGTCAAGTTGCCATATTCATGTGAAGGGGGAGAAAAAAATGACATTGTAATTGGTTTTAGTCAAAACATATCAGATGACTGCTGCTGTCTGATGAGGATATGCATGAGGTACTCTCTTACCGTTGCCAGTTGTCAGCGCGCACATGAAGTGGGCAACTGCATAAATATTGTGACATATTGTGTAATTATATCTGTGCGATTGCTCTCTGCTGGCAGAGCCAATCTAAGTGTGGAAATGCATTTCAAGGTACTGCTTTGTTATGACCAAGAAAATATTTTGCTTCAAATGTATTTGTATAGATGTGATTTTTGTTTTTGTTCATTTGTTTTCCATAAGTGAAGGTTTACAGTTTTGGTCATTGTTCTAGATCCTACAGTAAAGTTGTGTGTAAGTGTCAAGGTTTTTGTTTGTACATACACTGTGTATTCAATGTGCCTTTCTCTATATGGTGACTGAATTCTTCTCCATTCAGCCCAGCTGTATTAAGGTACAACTCAAGGACACCACTTGTCCGAGATCGTTGTGTGTGTGTGTGTGTGTGTGTGTGTGTGTGTGTGTGACTGTATGTATATATTTTTAAATGCTTGTCACCAACCCTAAAACATGCAAATTCATCATTGTAAATCTTCAGGACTTGTTTTTGGATTGGGCTTTTTTAACTGCATTAAAATTATTGTACAATGTTATAGATGTATGAATGTAAAATAAACGTATTGGATTTCTATGTATTAACACCCGACTGAGTTTGTCATATTAAAGTGAGAAATGATGCCAGATATACAGTTACAGTTATACAGTCATACCCTTGATCCAGAAATATTGTTTGACAACAATAAAACCTAGAGGATGCAACTTGTCCTTCAAACATAGCACTATATATATAATTATAAATAATACATATAGCCCTCAACCTTTAAAGATTAGTGGATCATAATTTTGACATGAAATTAACTGTAATAATAATAACTATCCACAAAATAAGGTTTACTGTACTTTTATTATACATAGCAACAAAAAACAAACTCAAGCACTGCATCCTGCCACCTTTCAAAAGCCAAATCTGTCACATACTCTGTCTTTGCTCTTAAAGGGCTTGAAATCGTGCATTAACGGGAAGAAAGCCTCATTCATTTCCAAACTCTACACTGAGAAAACATTCAGTTTCTGCTCATAATCTTGTAAAAAAAACTACTTACAAACCACAAAACCACTTAAAAAGGCTCCCGCTCACTAACAAATCATCCATCACACCTTCAGTCCTTTGTAAGATCAAAACTATAGCAAGCCTATGTAACTTTGGCTCAATAACACCCGCTGTGGCCACGAGTGACAATTCAATTCAGTTCACTAATTTGTCCCTCACGTTGGGGGCAGGAGCAGAAGAGCGAGCGCTCTGGGCACGCTGCTCATGTGATGGCCTATGGGAGCAATTAAAGGATAACAGTAAATGGCAAAGGGTAGTGCAACAGTAGTACAAGTAGAGAAGACTCAGAGTCAGAGAACTGACTCAGGATGTCAGACACACAGCAAGAACTGTCTAAAGTTTGGTGTCATTAGCTACTGGTCACACCAGTAGCAGCTGAACACCTGGGTGTGTTGAACTGAAACTGTTACAATGTGTTATTTCTATGGATGCTCCATATTGGCTTTTCTGCCGATATCCGATATTCCGATATTGTCCAACTCTCAATTTCCGATACCGATATCAGCCGATACCGATATATGCAGGCTTTTTACACCAAAACTGTTGTTAGGTAACAACATAACGTTAACATATCTCCTATTGTGGAATTAACACATTATGCCTAATTTTATTGTGATGCCCCACTGGATGCATACATAAATGCAACATGGCTTTCCAAATGTAAACACTGTCTGTGCACAATAAGAGAACAACTTCAACTTTCATTGTATTAATACTGAAAAGAGTGCTAACGCTAATCACTAGCTTTGGTTAATGTGTTTAATTGTATTATGCTCCTGAAGGAGTGCTAATGTAAATTCTACGCCAATTGTTAGTTTGGTTAAGGAACAGTTCACAGCAGGGTACCATATTTAAGGTGCAATGCACTTATTTTGTGTTATTATTAAAATCATTAAGTTTTAAATTGTTTGGTTGTTAGCCACGGTTAGCAACCAACCAGTCTAGTAGTAGTTGTTGTTGTTGTTGTTGTTGTTGTTATACGTCATCTAGCGCGCGCGGTAAACGTCCCATACTGCGTTCATGCAGGCTCGGAAATGCTGAAGCCTACAGAACAAACATCGGTTATAAAAACCCGATACCGATAATTCCCGATATTCCATTTTTTAGTGAATATCGGCCAATAATATGGGAGGGCCTTTATTATCGGACATCCCTAGTTATTTCATCTTTTAAAAGTTACAAAGTCTTGCTGTAAATGAACCTGTGGGAAACCATAGTTACAGCAGAAGGTTGAGATTATGACAAACCGTGTTTATATTTAAATGATGTGCCCGGCTGAACCAGTGGTTCTTTATGCAACATGTATTAAACACTTCACAGTGCATCTCTTACACTACGCTGCCATGTCTTTACATTACCTCATGTATTTTAGGAGGTCCAGTGTGTAACATTGAAGATCTGTTGGCAGAAATTAATATTAATAGGTATGTTTTCTTTAGTGTATAATCACCTCAATATAGGAATAGTTCTGTTTTGTTACCTTAAAACGAGTCGTTTTTATCTACAGAGTCTTCTTCTATGGAGCCATATTTCTACAGTAGCCCAGAACAGCCAAACCAAACACTGGCTCTAGATAGGACCTTTCACGTTTTTTGGCAGCCATCGCAGTTTCTCCTTCGTGCTTAGTTGAGTCAGGGAGCTTCAGTTGTTTGCAATCTGGTCACTAGATGCTACTGAATCCTACACACTGGTCCAGTATTCTAACATAATGAGGCCATGGGATTTTTTGTTTTATTTCCCATAAACGCAGTCATTTACAAAATATCTTTCCTCGATGATCACAGCTCAGGGCTCAGAGCTTCTTCAGTGTTTCATTTTGACTAAAGAACTAAAATCTGTTTTATATAAAACAGGTGAAACACTTCACAGAACAACTATGCAAAAATCCCTACAAATGACAATAACATGATCAAAATATAAATAAAATAGTTTTATTTTGAAGTTGCATAAAAAAAATCCAAAAGTCAAAATGTTGAAAGACAAGCAACAGTACTTGTATTATGCAACAGAAACACTACAACAGATCTTTACCTCTACTGGGCTCAAAATTGCATGTAGTTCTATTTTTATTTTTATTTTTTTTAAACAAAACAAAAGACAGTATCAAATGAAGCCTCCTACACAGCCTGAGAGGTGAAGACCCTTTCCAATAATTAGTTGTATTGATCACTCCTGTCAGGAATGCAGTTAAACTCTCTGTCAAAGTACAGGAAAGTGACCAATACTGCTTCTTTACAAGAGCTGCACAGACTGTATCATCTTTAAATGAACTCAACTTAGAACTTAAACTACTCATTATGCCCCGGCACAAAAATCCCAACCCCCGCCCCCAGACTAAACCCCATCCTGCAGGTCAATCACTGCTTCTGCTGCATTGCTTCTTTTCGTGCAGCGTCCTGCAGGAGCTGAGTGTCCACTTCATCTGCAGGTAGCTGAACATACCGGACCACAGATCCACGGATGAAACAGTTTTTCACAGACAGCTGGAGCAAATTAAAACAAGACATTGCGGGGTTTGAAGGCAATAATCAAAGTGCTGGAGATTGAAGCTATACAAAATCTGTCCCATAATATCTCATCAATGGAGTTTGTTTTTTATAAAATACCCATGAAATACAAATTTCATGGGTATTTTGGTGACATTGGCTTTACTTTCCTATTGATTGGGGTATAATAATAATAATAAAAACAACAACACTAATTGCAAACCCATAATGCTCACAAATCTGATGAAGTTGCAACATATAGAAATTACCAAATAAGGAAATATTTCATGTTTTGTAGGTCCAATATTTTCTATGCATAAAGCAAATATGTATTCCTTTAGTATATTGCGATATATTACTTCTTTACAGTTTATATATTCCAAACACGACGGATGGAAAGAAGGAGAGTCTGCAGCACACTTCTTTAACGTCATCACTACAAAACCCTAAGCATCATCAAGCCAATTTCTATTAAAATTTGGATAAGTTGCAAAGTATCAAGGTGATAAACAATGTTAAAAAGAGCTTGGGGGATAACAACAATAGACATGTCTTAAGAGCTGAAACTGGTGACAGCACTGAGACAGCTCAACCTACCATGTGTGGATACTTCTCTGGATCAGTGACACTGATGTCTGTGAGCTTAATGTTCAGGTACTGAAACACACACACACACACACACACACACACACACACACACACACAGGGAAACGTCACGTCAAAAGATTAGAAGTCAGAAAAAAATAAAAAGGAAAAGCTGAATGACTTTGTTTCAAAATAAGGAGGATAAATGACTCTTTCCAACCTGATCGACAGAATGAAGAGTTCCACAGATGCTGAAAAGAGAGATGTTAAAAATGATTACACCTGGACACACAGGTAGTACAACAATACCTTGCTCTATATTACAATCCACAACGACACCACTGCATTAAATGAAGCTTATCATGTTCAGTTATTTGAGTCTACAACAGAGAGGAGTTCATCATTCATGTGCAGTATGACCACCGTCCACTACTCCACACAGCGGTCTAGTGACTAGCATAACTAAACAACGGAGGCTAAATTAAACAGTACACGACACATTCATTCAGCTTAACCAAAAAAAACCCCCAACCTCAAGTCGTTTTTGAGCTCCACCACCACATCCTTCCCCACCAGAGACTTGAAAAACGAGTAGAAAAGCTGAAAGACACAACGACATGGTAACGCTAATGTTAGCAGCATGCTAAATGTCGAGCATTATACAGGCTGCAGAGAGCTAACGCTAGCAGGCTAAAGCGAGCTGTGAGCCGTTCAACACCTCGCTGAATCTTCACATGAGACACTGTGGCGTTAACTGGCGGCTCAATTCACACATTCACATCGATTTCTTACCATTATTGCTGCTTGGTGTCTTCTGGTAGAGCGTCCGGTGTTGATGATGTGTCACCCCGCGTGATATCGCTGCGACAGACCGGAGTGCAGTTACCGAGCAGCTCCACACGGGGGAGCCAGCGGCGCGCTCAGTGTCTCCACGTTGAACTACCTGAGGAAGGTTTACTGCCGCTCGTTAAGTGAACGGTGTGACCATAAAGCATTGCAGCATCACTGTGAGGTTAAAGCCTGTGATATAGTGTCTCACAGAGTCCGCGGGATGACTCTAGCTGTTTATCTGTCGGTCTTGTGCGATAAACTTTGTTCTGAAGTGTTTCTCAGACCTGCTGGGCTCGTCAGCAGGTTTCTCGGTTGGCAGACTGATGAACAATGTGCACTGGGTCCTCCTGAGCAGGGGCGGATCTAGAGGGGTGGCAGCTGCCTGAGAAAGGCCATGTCACCCCAGTTTGGTGTAAAAGTCTGTCAAATGTAACACATTCATTTAGAATAATAAAAAAAAAGCATTAAAAATTGATGTTAACACATATTATTTAATTATCTGCTGTAGACTTGGTTATAGGCTTAAGTTTAATGAAACGTACTAATGTGCCACAGAAATGTAATTTTTTTTACATTATACATACTTTATTGTCTTTTAGAAAAAGGGAAACAATAAGG